GACGGTAGTGTGGCTTCTGTCGACTGAAAGACCGTCTGCAATCTGTTCCCATCGTGGGTGGGCCCTAAGTGACATCGTGGGGACTGGCTGCATTAGATCGCTCAGTTTTCTGTTCGCCGGCTCTGATGAGGTTCATTTTCCATGACTCATTTGCCGCTGATATGGATTAACTGCGAAATGAAGACAGAATCTCTCCCAGGCTAATGATGATTACTTGAAATAGTGCCCACTCATAGTTTGAAGGCTGGTCATTTAGCTTTTGACTTAGTTGCTCATTTCCACACATCACTTGTCCGCATATGAATTAAATTCGAAATATTACAAGGGCTATTCAGTATTCATCAACTAACGGCACTCTTATGCAGAGCTAAAATTTCATTTTTTTATCAATTTACCAGGGTGAAAATAATTCCCAACATGCGAATGAGTTTGGATGGGAGCGGCTTGAATTATTTATGAAGTGATCTTTTGAGGCTATCTTCTTGTTTAGAAGACAAATCCGGATACGCTTAATGCTTGTCGACGACATCGACCAATTTTAATTGATCCTCGAGGGCTTCTGGCGCCGTTTGCTTCTTTTTAAAGAATGTTAAGCCCCGGTAGACGGTGACCTGAGTTGAGCCATAGACCTCTGTACACCGGTGTACAGAGGTCTATGGTTGAGCTGAATATGTGATGTCAACAAGTATTCATCAGCATGACGCGAGCGACCCGGTGTCCCGCCGGAACACCGAGACCATGCATTCAAAATATCCCGTTCTCCTGACTGACCCTCGCCAACGGATTTAGAGGAGCGATCAGCTAATCCGGCCTGCGGCATGTCTGTTACGATGTTTGGTTATGCTCGCTCACGATCATACAGTTCCCTTCATATTAGCAAGATTCTTTAATAAAGGCGGCGCTCCAGCAACGTCAATATGGGACCGATGTAACGTGTGCAATGTTTGACATTCTGTCTGTTTCCACCGGTAAAAGACGTTTAGTTCACTTTAATACGGTGACTGTTGTTCTATTTTATTGGAGCAGCTTCGCTTATTTTTATTTTGAATAACATTTTTCCTTTAGCAGCATGACTTTGCCTGTATCCCTATGCAGTATCGTGGGAGGTAATTCGACTGCTCACAACCCCAGCATGTGACGGCCTTCGTGTTCACTCCCAGTCTCGTAATGGTGAGTCGGTGCGTCATCGGAGTTCGGTTGCCGGAAATTACATGCTACTCTTCAACTATATCATCGAATGTTGCTGGTAATTTCCTGACTGCGGCTCTGACGCTGGAGCAGTTGGGCGCGCAAATTTCCGCTCCGGTGTTGCGATGTGTTACTTGTTGTCCATGTGATGTTGGTGGCCTATTCCGTGGGTGAATCACACACGAGTCTTGGAATACATTTGCTGACATCTGTTAGATACAAATGTTAGATAATGAAATGCACAATGTACATTTGCAAAGCTTCTACAATGATCGTTATACTATTTTAAAATTGTTATTATGAAAAGTTGCATTGTCAGCAGCATAATTATGTCGGTGGAGAGGACTCTCTTTGGCCCATGGGTACTTTTCGGAGTACTTTGTGCGTTCTCCCTAAGGCACGGTAAGATTCATGTGATGATGATGTGGCGCGGCACGGTCGAATTTGGCAGCTGCGGTGCACCCGAGTAATGAAATGCCCGTCGTATCCGGGAGGTCGACGGTGCCCGCTCTGCCGGGGCCCAGCTCGGGCCACGCCGGGCCGGTAACGGATGGTGCCGTGCGGTCGCCGATTTGACACGGGCCCGGCTCGGTACCGGCCAGTGGCACCGGCGGAAGGCCATGTGACGCACTGTGGCTGTCACATGGCCGCTGCATGGCGGGCCCGTCACTGTATAGTCGCGCTGGGGCTGCTCCGTAGCAACAGCACATGGCTGGTCCATGACTGCCCCTGACTGTCCCATGGCTGGTCTATGACTGCCCCTGACAGTCCCATGGCTGCTCTATGACCGCCTCTGACTGTCCCATGGCTGGCCTACGACTGCCCCTGACTGTCCCATGGCTGGGCTACGACTGCCCCTGACTGTCCCATGGCTGCTCTATGACCGCCTCTGACTGTCCCATGGCTGGCCTATGACTGCCCCTGACTGTCCCATGGCTGGTCTACGACTGCCCCTGACTGTCCCATGGCTGGCCTATGACTGCCCCTGACAGTCCCATGGCTGGTCCATGACTGCCTCTGACTGTCCCATGGCTGGTCTATGACTGCCCCTGACTGTCCCATGGCTGCTCTATGACCGCCTCTGACTGTCCCATGGCTGCTCTATGGCTGTCCCTGACTGCTCCACGGCCGCGTCGTGGATGCTCCTCCATGGTCTACATGATCTACTTACACACCACTCCCAGACACCACACTGCCTTGACAACGCATCGTTATCTGGCCGTCCGATGTTGCTCCACGGCAGTCATTACGTTCGTCAGGTTTGCGTCACCACGTATTCCGACAATCCGGTAACCATTGAGTCGCCGTACAGAGCCATGGCCATTGATTAGCCAACCCCATTGATTACCTTGAACGAGACGACCACAGCCGCTGCTTTGTCCAAATCTCTCGCGTCATTCGGTCGCAGAAAGAGGCGGTCTGTGGCGCCTCTGTCGAGTGACGCACAGACTCTGTTACCGCCTCAATGCACACTTATAACAAATAACAGCCGGGTTATTTGTTTGCATGATGGACTGATTGGTTGACCCGTGGACGGGAAGAGGACTCAGTGGCTTGTTATCGCTCGGACAGGCGACTGGGTGCGTGTTGAGAAATGTTACGTGTTGTACGCTGACATGTAGTTTTTGATTTTTTCCCGCCCAAAGTGGCAAAATAAGACTAAAATCAGCTAATATGTGGCTACCGTTGTATCTGGGCGGTGTCTAGGCGGACCTTGTCTCGCAGACGGAACTTCTCTGCTCTTATCTTTCAGCCTGAACTTTGCAGCGCATTCCGCTGCCTTCCACAGCTGCCCACTATGCCAGTCCGACCGCATGGAATTTGACGAAGCGCTCTTTTGGTAGCGCCGACGTGTCGTAATATGATGTTCCCGGAAACAGCTCGGCTCAGTCGGCGCTGACTGCTGCTAGGTGCAACAACCCGAGCCGAACGTAACCGGTGCCAGCGTCAGTTGAACGCTGGCTGACTTTAGTTTACAGTTCACACTGATTTCGATTGTCATCGCCGGTTAAGGCCTTTCTATGACGGGTTTTCGTCATTTGGTACTCGAGACGTTGCATTGCAAGGACAGGGCGTCTGGTTTATTGGTTTTCTTTATTATATTTGTTTTTATGTGTTGTAGCCTGTGGCTGTCTGGGATCGTATGCAAGGTTAGTTGCCATACCAATACCAAGGTCCACACAGAATTGGCATGCCACGATGGAACAGGTACGAAATGGAATGTGATGGTGCACGAGTTCTTATCACTAAACCACTGAAAACTTGTTGCCAGCATTCAGAGTTATTCTGGGTTAACCGGATGCGCTGTCTGCCAAAGTCAAGATCTCAACAAGACTTCGTGTCTTATTGCGTCCCAGAAGCTCACCGCCGTTAGGGTCGAACGTGAGAAAAAGCCAGCCGTTACCAACAACTGCTGCCGCTCTCAGATACGCATCTTTGTCTGCTAGTTAGAGAACTTGGAGTAGTGCTAGTTGCTAGTTGTAGAGTTGTTGCTGAGGAGTTGTAGGGCACCGCCCCCAGTTCCGGCGGACCCCCCCCCCCCACCAACGTCATGACGCCCCGTCCCCCCCCCCCCCCCCCCGCTGTGTTATCAATAATGCCACCGACTGTCATCTGTGATGGCCGCCCGGGGTACTGCCGACAACGGTCCAGGCTGGATACCGGGCTTTGATGGCTATCTGCGCGGACGGCTTAACCCTTCTTTCTGTCACCCTGTCTTGCTCCGTCCTCACAATACTTTTTCATTTATGTATATGAAAAAGAATGGAGGTCTATCTTGTCATTCTATCAGGTGACTGTTCTCATAGCCTCAAGTGGTCATCAAATGCGCCTCGATGTTGCCGACGGTAACCACCGGATAGTGTGACGTTCCCCCGGGGGTCGTGGCCATTGCCTTGGTGTTACCACCTAGCGACGACCTACCCCCCCCCCACCCCCACCCCCTCCCGCCGCCCCGGAGAAGGGCTGCTCCTCCCGGCTCGTGTCAGCTGAATGGCCCACACGGTCAGCGCCTGGTGTCAGCTGTCCACCGGGGGACGACTCGGAAACCCTGTCACCGTGATTGCACCGCGTCCAGTCGCAGCGAGCTGCGATATTGCTGCGATATTTATTTGTGAAAGGACATCAGGTGAAACGGCCTTATTGGAATCCACAATTAAGGAATTGATTGCTGACTTCAAAGCGAATGTGTACTTGGCTGCGGAAGACGGAAGACATAATATGGCACCTTTCCTCCCGGATTTCCTTGATGCTTTTTGTTCGTTCCATTAATTTGCAAATGGAATAGAAATAGTTGCACTGCTAGATCCTGCATTCAACCTTATACCTAACTTTCCGTCAAAATCGTTCTCTTGCTTTTAGGGCAGCCCTTTAAACGACTTCTAAGTTCAACGGAATATCGCTGCAGGCTATAGTCACAGTTCGGATTATGTTTAGTTAACGTTCAGTACCTGGTTAACAAGAAAACGCATTTCTCGAAAATTATTGGATGCGTTTGAGGACCGGATTTTTCCACAGCCTTTTCATGTGGAGGTAGAAAAGAGGGACATTTTGTCCGCCTTTCAACGTGCTACCTTTTTCCCAGAGGTTAATGCAAGTCTCCTTGTTCTTTGTAGTATGACATGCCAGCACCGCCTGACATCTCCCTACCCTCCCAACTCCTGTTATATTAATTCGAGTCGTCTTGCTCCCCGCAGTGTGACGGGCCATTACCGCCTCACATCTCCCTACCCTCCCGACTCCGGCACCGGCTCACATCTTCCTATACCCTCCCGACTCCTGTTATATTAATTCGAGTCGTCTGCTGCCGGCAGTGTGACGGGCCAGCCGCGCGCGCTCAGCCACAGTCGGACCGGCTCGGTACGCAGCAGCTCCACCGTGTCCAGCTCCCGGTCCCAGGACCGCGGCCGGCTGATTCACGAGGAGCCCGCCAGACACCAGGTGAGGCGTCTGGGGACGGGCCGGTGGGGAGGCTGGGGACGGACCGGATAACTCCCGCCCCGTCTGGTGGCACAGTTACTCAATGCTCACTTGTCTGGTGTGTTAGATTGTGTTCTGTCAATTACATATGTACAGTTTCGAGTTTTCTTTGGTGGCTCTTAGAACAAGGAGTCTTTCTGCTTTTTTTTCACATGACATTTGTCTATTAGGATTGATTTTATTCACAACCGTTGCATGACAAGTATACTGAATTAGCTTTGCTGAATCACCAATCACCATTGATTAGCTTGGGTGCCGTTGCAAACATCCTTGATCTTTACCTCTGGGGAGTCGGCTTAGCAACTGGGCCTACCCCGCTGGGATCGACGGAAGTTCTGCAGAGCGAGCGACTCGGTATGCCAGTCCGCAGGGGGTCTGACGTGGGGCGAACAGATTCTCAATGCCCGCTCTACCTCGCTGGGGCGCAGCCTGGAGGCGTGGGAAGGGAGCTGAAAGATCGATAGAGGTGTGCATTTCTGATCAGATTCCCCGGGAGATCACATTGGTGCGATAATCCGATCAATTACCTAGGCCAGCATCCAGCCACTTTTCTAGCATATCGGGCGTTGAGAGTGACAAAAACGTTTGATGTGTCGCACATTGACGTAACGCGCACATTTTATGACGCGTGACTGGCTGTGGTTTTCAGACGGCTGAGGACAATTTCACTGTGCTGCGAGCCCAAATGGAGGACCATCAGCAGCAGCAGCAGCAACAGCAGCAGCACCACCACCAGATGCAGCTGGATAACACGCCTCAGCCGCACCCGCTGCCGATGCCGGAGTACGGCGGGTACTTTGCGCCGCTCTCCAGCTACCTGCCCAACTGCAGTCAGCCCATCGCCAGCTTCCACCGGTGAGCTTTCAGTCTCCACTGTACAGTAAAGCAGTCAGCCCATCGCCAGTTTCCATCGGTGAGTGGTCGGTGTTCACTGTACAGTAAGGCAGTCAACCCATCGCCAGTTTCCACCGGTCAGTGTTCGGTAACGAACCCTCGACGTCACATATTACTCTCTGATCTGGATCTGGCAGCAGATGGCTGTAGGTAGAGTGGTCGTGGCCATCTCCTATGTGTTACCGCCGAGTGACGACCTAAGTATACACTCTCTACGGCGCCTGGGAAGTCTGTTGCTAACCGCTTGAACTTATGACACTCGATGTCCAGCCTCTCGGCTCTTATCTAGATGGCGTGCGCTCAAGAGCTGGACACCAAATTGAAGTATTAGGGGCGTCCACGCTATTAAAGTGAGTGAGAGGAATGATTTGAGTGGAGGGACATCCAGCGGATGGAGGGACATGTATTAGGGACACCCAGTGGAAGAAATGAGCTTCAAAAACTGTAAATTCACAAATGGGTTTCAAATCTTGCGCACCTCAAAACACGTACAGTTTTGTTGCGTGTGCATTGTGCATGGCATCGAATTGAGTATATTGTTAAAGGTCACGGGCTGTAGACAACACAAAAGCCTACTTCGTACATAGAGCCTCATTTTTCCTGTCTGTGAGCAACATGATGCATCCCGTGTCATTTTACCTAGGTAATAGTATGCTGATTCATGCTGCGCTAGGTGCTGAAAATTTCAGCAGCTTTACACTCGTTTTCCGTGTTACAGCTTGCTCTGAGGGATGGTTGGCTGCCTCATGAATATGCATCGCATGCGATCCAGTTTATTCTTCTGAAAGCAGTGTCAGTGTCCCGGGCGACGCCCGCCTGTTCGCTGTCACGCCGTCGTAAAATGCCTTTAACAACCACAGCGCAGAGTGAGGCGCGTTACAGCGAACCACCCCATACAAGCGCGGAATTGTACCGTGTGCGACGTCTCGCAAAAAGGTCCAGTTCGAAATGCTTGTCCGGTATCAAAGGTAATGGATGTTTTCCTGCACCAATAATTGAATTGCTCCTTACTCCGGAAAGCGACTTGGCTGTTAGAAATATTAAACTACAAAGGTGCCCGTGTTTTTACCGGGTAGATTATTTTGCAGGAGTTGTTTCCAATAGCGGAACGCCAGGAAGCAAAAGACATACATCAAAAGAAAGATCAAACGCCAGCCACTAAATTCTTTCAGTGCTTATAACTTCGAAAAAATAACAGCAGCGTTCCTATAGCTTAAACAGCACCACTTATAGCAGTAATAGCCTACCATATCAATTGACGACTCTATTGTGCAGTGGGCACTCTATATTTTATTTGACAAGCTCGCGACTTGCCTGAGGTTACATTGCCATAGCCCATACATTAGCTACCCCCACCTTAGTTCTGTGTAGTCATACACACGAGTTCGTTGTAGGTTTCCTCGCCTGGGGCCACTATTGACCGGTCATCCCGCCGGACAGTCGGATACGAGATGACATGGCGGTGCCGCGGTCCGGGACGGGCGTCATTGTCACAGATATACCACCGTCCGCCCAGACACGGGCTATGTTTATCCAGCGTGGGAGCCGGACGGCTCAGTAGCCATCAGCGCTTCCTGCTCTCTCCTGTCTGGCTGGCGACTCTCTCTCTCTCTCTCTCTCTCTCTCTCTCTCTCTCTCTCTCTCTCTCTCTCTCTCTCTCTCTCTCTCTCTCTCTCTCTCTCTCTCTCTCTCTCTCTCTCTCTCTCTCTCTCTCTCACTCACTCTCTCTCTCTCTCTCTCTCTCTCACTCATTCTCTCTCTCTCTCTCTCTCTCTCTCTCTCTCTCTCTCTCTCTCTCTCTCTCTCTCTCTCTCTCTCTCTCTCTCTCTCTCTCTCTCTCTCTCTCTCTCTCTCTCTCTCTCTCTCTCTCTCTCGTCTGTTTCCACTGCCGGCTTCCTGTGGTTTGCTGATGTATGAATAAACACGTGTCTGTGTGATTTGTACCGTGCCTGGCGTCATAAATCATCGTTAGTGTCATGCGGGGCAGCTGATGTAGATAGCGCAGGTGTAGTTACCTACCACCTACCTTGGTTGTTTTCTCTTTTGGCGGAAACACGGTCTCGACTTCCCCTCCTCGCTCGCCCAGGTGTCTGTGTCTGCCGATTCCTTCTTGCGTAGCTGAAAGACGCCCAAGCGGAGGGGAAGGAGACTTGGGAAGGAATGGGGTGACGGTGGGGCGGTGGGTGGGTCTGTTAGGATCCTAGTTTTACTCTCGCTGATGCACGTTGGTGTGGAACTCGTTCGGCGTAGGAAGACTATGGTGGTGATGTTTGCCAGCGTTGCCTTTCTTTCACGGATTTGTTTTCTTGTTGGATTTTGCTGCTCACATATCGATTCACACATACATCACTCGCACTCAAGACTGAACAGTGAACATTCAACTCGACTAATGTGCCCCGCGCCCTTGCCGACGGCTCGCCGGCGGGCACCCGACTCCGTCTCCCGGCCGGCCCGGGCGCGGCGCCGCGGCGCGGCCGTCCCGGTTACCTGACCCGGCCGGCCATTTCATGCCACAGTCATCGTTTTATGTCTATGGCATTACAATGGAAATTTTACAAATTTCACATATTACATGGAGGTCAATTATTCAACATTGTCTCACGGTGTTAGGCTTTCATCTTACTCATTCTTCTTGATTGAAACTGCTGAATAACGATTGGAATGCCGATGGAAGTGCGGTGGGGTATCAGAGGGACGTCTGTGACCTATCGTTGGTGGGTCGGACGAAGGAGCACAGAGGTGTAGATGTCAGCCGATTAGGGAGTCCATGGAGGGCAGCCGCTCACTCTGGCTACGGCACAATGAACCTCGTCAGGCATGCATGCAGCGGTCGGCCGGGGGGGGGGGGGTTGTGCTAATGCTGGTAGACGAAGCAGCGCGTTCTCATTATCCAATGACTGACAGCGGCTGATGTGCTCCTGAATTACCCAGGGGACGGGCATCGTAAGGTGGTGGCTGAAAGACCATGGGAAGAGTTGTTGGGATCGGGCCGGATGCTAGAAACCGGTTCGGCTTGTGATGTATGCTGATGTTTTACATAGTTTATTGTGGTGCTTTGTGTGTATGTGCTGACATGGTAGGTTAGGTACCCTGTCCCTGGCAGGCGGAGTATCCGCTTATGCTGATCTGTGTTATCCGCGTATGCTGACGCCAAAACTCGTCTCTGACAGGTGTAACCTGGCGCTGATGCTGATCCAGGACGTGGTGGTCGACTGCGTGGAGACGCCGTGGTCTCTTCATGTGCCCTTCATGCTGCACATCATATTCCTGGGACTGGACAACGCCCGGCCCCTGGTCCACGAAAACTGTGAGTGACGGCGCCGAGGAGTGCATAGTGCTGGTCAGATGTCGGTGTGTTCGTGTGACTGTTCTGAATTGTGATAGATACATATATTGCGATGATGATTTTGCTTAACTATGACACAATTTAGCGGGAACGTTAGCTACCAGCTGTACACATTTTGATATTGTAAGTCAAGGAACACTTCAATCGAACATTTCCAACAGTTCCGTCTATTGTTGTTTAAGACTTATGTTTTCAGGATAAATTCTAGTCTGCGCCAAAGCGACTGCAAATATGCATCGCCAGGCCAAGTCACGCACTAAGGAATTTAATTTTCAGAGTATGCCCAACGGGTTTCAACAGAAGTACTCGATGCTATTGGTGTCGCAGGTTATATTAGACACCGATTTATTCAGTCCCGACTCCAGTGTGTCGGGCGAGGGACTGTACGTGCCGATATTTTTACCTGGGGGGTTTTACCGCTGTTTGTCAGAGGTATACGCTGGGCAAGACGATATGGCTCGCTTGTTGGACGACAAATCGCGCACTTATTGTCTACTGAATTATTGGTCCACGGACACTTATTTGAGTCACTTGTTATAGACAGTGGTTCTATTTTTAGCTCGAATTGCTGTCGTGTGATCATCGAGGACAAAGTGCGTGACATCTCTGATGCTGATAAATTGGGCTTGGGGTCAGGATTGGATATACCTACTCGTATATTGCCGTCTATGGGGTACTGAGCAGGTGCACGGGTGCGTGTGTTAGAGACACGAGGGGTGATCCGTTGTGTCGTTCGGGTGCTGATCGGGGGTCTGTATGTCTGACAGGTAAGCAGCTGCTGCTGAACCTGCTGGTGGTGCTGTCCCAGCACGGGGACCACCTGTCTGTGGCGGCCGTGCTGCTCAGCTGCCGAGCCGAGCTGCTCGAGTACGGACTGACACTGCCCACCCCGCCAGTTACTCGGCAGAACCTGACAGGTAGGTACGACAGAACCTGACAGGGAGGTACGGACTGACACTGCCCACCCCGCCAGTTACACGGCAGAACCTGACAGGTAGGTACGGACTGACACTGCCTACTCCACCCGTCACACGGCAGAACCTGACAGGTAGGTACGGACTGACACTGCCCACCCCGCCCGTCACACGCAGAACCTGACAGGTACGTACGGCCTGACACTGCCTACCCCGCCAGTTACACGCCAGAACTTGACAGGTAGGTACGGACTGACACTGCCCACCCCGCCCGTCACACGGCAGAACTTGACGGGTAGGTACAACAGAACCTGACAGGTATGTACGGACTGACACCACTGAACCTGACAGGCATCGTATCACATGCAATTTTTGACAGGTGCGTTGTCCAATCACGCTCATTAAGTAGAACTTTCAAGTATCTCTTCTTCGTCTCTGCATATGTCCGATTTTAACTATTGCGACTTGAGTATTGACTATATAGAGATTGAAATATAAAAGATAACAACGCTGGAATGAGTTGATGCGCTGCTAGCAACAAAAAAAAAAAAAAACGTAATTGTAGACAAGTTTCAACCGGCAATTTCAAAGTTTGAGTATGCTCTGTTTTGCAATTTGTCCGGAAGAAAAACTTCAAGGCTGTATTTTTTCAGTTATATAATGTCGCAGGCCCATTTCCAATTGTATATTTTCAATTGGACGAAAATTGCTTTTATAAAGATGAGGCCAAACCAATTAGATGATTAGTTTTTACATAGGGTGAAGTCGTATAAGAGTACGCACTTAGTGGATTTCTTGCTCTCATTTGTTTAATATTTGAAGGAAAGAAATCGCAAATAGGGAATATTAAAGTTCATTGAATTAGCCATCAACCCATGGGGCAACGATCCTTCAGCGTAAATGGAAGTGGTCTAAAACTAACATTTTCTGAACCGTTGCACTTGCGTACTCTTACCATATGGGGTGTGTAAGAGTACGCACGCCAGGCGGGTGGAGTACGCAAGCATATGAACCAGGGATGCGGAGCCGGAGCCGGAGCCGCCGGAGCCGGCATATTTTGCCCGGAGCCGGAGCCGGAGCCGGAGCCGGAGCCGTGAAACAATATAGCCCGGAGCCGGAGCCGGAGCCGTCAAAAAAGGGGGCGACTCCGGCTCTTTTTCTTAAAGGGACCCTCCCACCTTAACATTAGATTTGAGTTGAGATAGCCAAAATGGGGTCCCTGGCTCACAATTGCCGGTTTCGGCACTCACAACATCGAGAAATGCCTTAAATCGGAAATATTGAATTTCAAAATTGCAGCATTTTGATTCAGAGGGGCTAATGCATAGGAATACCCCTCTGAATGTGTGACGTCAGCGCAGATATCTAAAGATTTTTAAATGTTTGACTAAAACGTTTTGTAGCACGCGGTGGTATATGCTGCTTTGCGCGCAATAAGTGCCGCACTTTCAGCTGCCAAACTATTGCTTCCAAATAAAGTCGCTAGGAACAGCGGAGATCCCAAAAAGTAAACAAAAGTAAAAGTCTAATATCTTGAAAACCGGTGAATATTTTTCGGTGAAATTTGGTAGATATTCGTTTTCGCTCTTTTTGAACCGAGCGACATCACTTTCATGTCAATTCATAAACTTTTTTGAAGGTGGGAGGGTCCCTTTAAGAGGAAACAATTATTTACCTAGTTCAGTTTGACAGTACAAGGCGTAAAACAATGTGGCATTCAAAATAGCCTTGTTATACAAATACAGAAGCAACGTGTACCAATCCCATCGCCTTTTTTCTTCCACCCGTATTTAATTGATCGCATAGGGGATGTAACGAGTAGAAGCCGGAGCCGGAGCCGCCGGAGCCGGATCATTTTACTCGGAGCCGGAGCCGGAGCCGGAGCCGCCATGACATTTCACCTGGAGCCGGAGCCGGAGCCGGAGCCGGAGCCGTCTGAAATTTCCACGGCTCCGCATCCCTGATATGAACACACACCTATGCAGCTACTGTCCAAATGCTTAACTTCAAACTCAGAAGGCATTCAAATTAATTCTAGTATCCAAAAAGAAAAACATAAAATAAATCTTTAAAGTCTATAAATCAGGAAATAATCATGTCGTGTGTTTCTTTAAAAAAAAATGCACAATCAAAAAGGAGAATAACTCGTATTTGGAAGAATTTCGGGTACGCATCTGCATCACAGTACTCCATTGATGATATACCTACCTACAAAACAAACGTCATTGAGCGATAGAATAATAATTCTATATTTCTGTATATTCGATTTAATGTATAATTCTGCGTACTCTTACCCTCCTGAACAGTGCGTCCTCTTACCGTACATGCAATTCGCGCACAAAACAACCCCGAAACGTTGTGCAAAACTTCGCAAACAGAATATTGCACTGTACAGTATTTCCCAAGATACCCTCACAAGTTTCCCACAACAATCACGGAAATGTACCTTATCTCAACTGCCAAGTATCAAAATTATTGTACCATATCATAATAATATCATAACGCTCGAAAATAATATTCATCGCCTTAAACTCAACAGCGTCGCCGGCCGCCGCTCAACGCCCACGTTCCGTTGGTGACATGCACGCACTGGCGGCTTCATGTCACTTCATGAACTCGACAAACCCGCGTTGCTAAGCAACCGAAACAGCTGATGCGTACTCGTATCGCCCGCGTACTCTTACCCGCCCTTACCCTAACCAACCTTTACAGTGCCCTTTTCGGCGTATTTCGATCTTTCATTATTTTTCCAAAACTACTCGTGATTACAACGTATGCCCAAGAGATTGCACTTGCGGCTGCGTTTTTAAATAGCCATGTCTGAGATGTCTAGCCATCTGAGCAGGCAGTCTGGCTCGCGGCCCGGTCTAGGTGCTGTGTCCCGCCCTGTTGTCGGCGAAAGAGTCGCTGACTGATTATCTGTCCACGGTCGGCATAGAGCCCTTAATGACTTCCTCGGGCCCGGCCCGGGCCATTGTTCATTTCTCATTATTTTTCTCTGCCTTATCTCTTTTTGCGCGTCCATCCGTTGAAGTGACGGTCTTCCCCTTGGAAGCGTTAGGATCTGGTAAGATACGGTGGTACAATGCGAAATTTCTGATTAGGTAATTGGACGTTAGCCCGACGTCTATGAACTAACGCGTACGACAAGCACACTAAGCCAGCGAACTGGTTTGGTTCCTTGTCATTTTCTCACAGTATTCGTGCATTGAACTCTATGCAGCTGCTAGTAAATTATTTGGATATTTTATGTAAGTAATAATGACGCCAGTATACTGTGGATATAGGTGGAATGGAACAGTGTCGCCACCAGATCAAGGAGGAGCCTTTCAGCCGTATCACTCGTTAGATGTATAGAGAACTAGTGTAAATTATGTATGTCTGTATGTCTGTGTTACAGAGAAGGAGGACCAGCCGTGCCGCCAGTGGGAGGAGGCCGTCAGCTGTATGTCTGTATGTCTGTGTGTCTCTGTTACAGAGAAGGAGGACCAGCCGTGCCGCCAGTGGGAGGAGGCCGTCAGCTGTATGTCTGTATGTCTGTGTGTCTCTGTTACAGAGAAGGAGGACCAGCCGTGCCGCCAGTGGGAGGAGGCCGTCAGCTGTATGTCTGTATGTCTGTGTGTCTCTGTTACAGAGAAGGAGGACCAGCCGTGCCGCCAGTGGGAGGAGGCCGTCAGCTGTATGTCTGTATGTCTGTGTGTCTCTGTTACAGAGAAGGAGGACCAGCCGTGCCGCCAGTGGGAGGAGGCCGTCAGCTGTAATTATGTATGTCTGTGTGTCTGTGTTGCAGAGAAGGAGGACCAGCCGTGCCGTCAGCTGTATGTCTGTATGTCTGTGTGTCTCTGTTACAGAGAAGGAGGACCAGCCGTGCCGCCAGTGGGAGGAGGCCGTCAGCTGCGCCTCCTCCACCAGCACTGCAGACACGGTACTCCAGTTCCTACCGTCGGCACCCACCGCCTACGGCACAGGTCAGTCCCGGCGCCCTGGCTGTGTCCGCTCAGACAAACGTGTGGTGGGGCTATATCCCCTCACAAAGGCGCGGAGATGAGAACACAGCCGGCTGACGAGTGATATAAGGCTCAGCGGAGATCGATGGAGAAATGTTTACACAAGCTGCTAGTAGGTAATTGATTGGTTTGCCAGACAGGCTCAGCTAACAAAGAAACAAAGCAAGCGAGATAAAGGAAAGAATCACCTTGCTAAAATTGACAAAGCTGGCTGGTGTGTTAGTTCTAAGTCGGGTGCGTCGCTTCAGAAGCTGCGTGCCACCAAATGCCGGGAGTCGCACATTTCCCCAACGGCCTCCGAATCAACACAGCCGCTGCGAATAGTAGCATCAAAGTCCATTTCGCTTCAGCTACTGTTTATTTTGGTCGGTTTAATAGCGCAACATTACCCGTTGCATGTTAGTTTGATCAGAAAGCTAACACCGCTACGGTATTGATTGTTTGACGATTCGGGCTGATGCAAGGCCCTATATACCGGCTGATGCGAGATGACTTCAGCATCAATTTCGTAAAACGTTTTTTTTTCTTTTTAGATCATCTTAGCTGCGGAAATGTGTCAGCTTCATCTTTTCCTGACCTTTTGCTAGAAAGGAGATTCCACATTAAAGAGCGTAGAGCTTTTCCTGACCTTTGTTAATCTTTGTGGCTTTTCCCAGGTAGTCTATATTTGCGCCAGTTTTGTGATCGTCTTATGTGGCATTTATCAGCTCCGATTGAAATTGTTTATGTGAAAGCGTTGTGCCTAAAATAATTGAGTCGGGAAACCATGTATTGTAGGATGGCGTTAAGGTTCCCAGAATAAGACCTTTAAAGTGACCATCCCACCTTAACATTAGTTTTGAGTTGAGATAGCCAAATTGGTGGCCATGGCCTGCTAATACCGGTTTGGGCACTCACAACATCGAAAAATGCTTTAATTCGGAGATATGGAATTTCAAACTTGCAGTTTTCGGATTCTAAGGGGCTAATGCATTGGGATGCCCCCTTAGAATTTGTGACGTCAGTGGTGATCTAACGATTTTAAAACCTTATACTAACATCTTTGTGAAACAGTGGTGGATATATACTATTTGCGCGCAACATCTGCCGCAAACGCTGCATTTCCAAAATGAAGTCGCTAGGAACAGCGGAGATCTCAAAAGGTAAACAAAAGTAAAAGGCTAATATCTTGAAAACCGGTGAATATTTTTCGGTGAAATTTGGTAGATATTCGTTTTTGCTCTTTCTGAACCGAGCGACATCACTTTCATGCACTGGCGGTCGCAGCCGCTAGCAAAAGGGGGGGCCAATCTCACACTCGCGGGACATAACATTTATCCGTCACCGGGGGGGGGGGGGGGGTGATCGGCTAATTTTTACTTCCACGAGGCGCCGCGCAGTTGGCACTAATTATGCTTCATCCATGTCATTCTTGCGTGGAATCTTTAAGTACAATTTAAGGCAAAATCACCAGTTCCATTTCCCGCCCCACGGTGTTTCCACCGGTCGGGCCACTGCACCATGGCGACGGATCGGTGTAGCATATACTGGAAGGTCGGGCACGCGGATTTATGACCTTACCACTATAAAACAATTCGGAAAAGTACAGATACCTACCTCTTGCTTTGAACAAGCATGTGAAACCCAGAGAGCATTTTCAGGCTATGACACTTACCCATATAATTGTGTGGCGGCGGGAGAGAGTAGGTACACCGACCTCTGGAGACCAAAGGTTCCTGGCTTTCAAAATTGGCATCTGAGGGCCGCGCGCGACTCCTGTGGGCTTCGTAACGGCTCTATTGGGGCTCACTCAACCTGCCTAGTTCTCATGCTGAAAAGACTGGCGGCCCTGAGCCCTGAGGATTTCATCAGTCTCTGCCAGCCCCAAGACCCACAACGGCTCATGGGTCCCGATGTCGAAATATGAGGGAATCTACGCGGGACCATCAGGACGTAAAGTGATCTCGATCAGGACTAACGTACGGCTGTACAGGAGTCTGCGTAAGCCCTCTGATCTTCAGAAGCCCACCCATGTATGTTTTCACTTAGAGGCCAGATTAGGGCCCTCAGAGACCAGTACCTACAGGGCCTGCAAACTGCAAAGGCCAGTAGTTTGAGACCATCAGAGACCGAGTTGGGCTTTCAGAGGCTAATGTGGGTCCTTACTCATTATAGGCCAACATGGGGCCCTCAGATGTCAGCGTGGGGCTCTAAAAGACCGGCATGAGCCGTCGTTGGACCCCAGAGGCCAGCAGAGGGCCCTCAAAGGCCAAGATGGGCCCTCCTCAGAGGCCAATGCAGGCCCTTAGAGGTCGGCATCGGGGCTTTAGCAGCCAGTGCGGGGCCCTCATTGGCACCTAAAGGTTCGTCTTAGGACACCAGAGACAGAAATAAGGCCACCAGAGACCGGTGTGAGACGCTCAGACGCCGGTTAGGGCCCCTGAGGCCGGTTAGGGGCCCTCATAGGCCAGATGTGGGGCTTAAGAGGTCGATGTGGGCTCTTAGCGGCCAACGTGGGCGCTTGACCGCCACTGAAGTTCCCTCAGAGGTCAGTGTAGGACGCTCAAAGACCGGTGTGGGAGCTATATTAATAGCTTGGAGTGTTTTTTTTTTTTTTTAGCCTCGTGACGATCGAATAAGGGCCAGGGCCCCATACACCTATGGGGGCCCATCGGTTGTTTGAGGCGGGGGGAGCAAATGATATGATGGCCCCCTTTATTGGCCTTTGGGGGGCATGGCCCTGATGCCCCCCCCCCCACGCGACCGCCACTGTGTACACATTACACACAGTCCTCTGAGATTGCATACTAGCTCATGCAAACTCTATGCAGGCCCCGGAGGTCCCACGCTAATCCTTAAGAAACCAAGCCGGCATACGGCGTCACCACCGGGCTTCTGAGGTGCACAGCACCAACCCATGAGGTCTTACTTTAGTGTCGTAGAGCCACGCTCATTTGGCAGGGCCCACCCGCCACTGCCGAAGAGGGTCTCATGCCAGCCATTGCTGGGCCTACGAGAGCCTCAAGTAAACCCACGCTGATATTCCATATAAGATCCGGCCTTACTCGTGAACCGGTGCCAGCGACGCTGACCGCCAAATTATCAGAATGCGAAGCTTAGCCCACTTATGAGTACAATTTACGTCCTTTGATGGCGCAAGAAAGAAAATGAAACAAACAAAAAGCTTTCTAGGACTTTTTTCGATCTGAAAGGTGGGGCCAAAAGATAGTATGGCCCCACCTTTCAGCACCAAAGGGGGGGGGGGCATGGCCCCCGTGCCCCCCCCCCCTGGGACCGCCTATGCTTTCATGCCAATTCATTAACTTTTTTGAAGGTGGGAGGGTCCCTTTAAGAGACGCTCTTTGACAGGTATTCCGTTGTGGTGGTATTTCCAGGTCGGCTTTTCCCAACCCTCCAAATATATCCTAAGAAAGGCCAGTGTTTACAGGCGTGACTTAAATATCCCCATTTAGGTGTACATATTCTGAAGCGTCCGGTGTGTTAACTGGCCTCTCCCCCTCTCTCTCTCTCTCTCCACGCTCCCCGCTGTAGACTCGGGTCCGAGCTCGTCGCTGGTGACGGTGCCGACGATCGTCGCGGGCGACGAGTCGGAGCCGGCCTCCCTGGTGTCTGTGAGCGCCGTCGAGCCGCCGGCGCCGCTGCCGCTGCCGCAGCTCTGCCTGGCGCTCATCGACTTCCTGGCCAGCCGGCGCTGCCAGCCCATGTGGGGACACGAGGACAGCAGTGCTAAGGTAGGAGGGATGTGATACACTTGGGGAATACGCATGCCAGACGAAGATTTATCAACAGCCGAGGTTTTATGGTGTTCACTGTTTTGAAAGTAACGAACACATGGCAAAGCGTGACGCTCCAGTTCTGAGATAGGTTGAACACTTATATTCCGACTCCATTCCACCACTTTAACTCTTGACGGAAGTCCCCCTCTCATGAGTCTCCACCCCCCCCCCCCGTGCCCCCACATCGAGCCGTTAGCGTGTCCCCGCGACGCCCTATGGCGATCGCTAATTGTTGCCAACATTACCACCCTGTGCCAGAGCCGAGTCACGCGTGCGGCCGGCACACCGCAGTCGTTTATTATACGGGTGCCCGTGTCCGCTTCGGTGTGCCGCTGGCCACACTGCGGGACACAGACGGAAGGGAGGGGAGGGTGGCGGGCTGCCCGTTGCGTAAGCTGTGATTGATATTGTGACTGGCAGGGATATAATGCAGGGGTATGGTCTGCTAAGCATTGTGTGGTATATGCGGTGTGGGGCGAAAGCGGTGATTGGCTTTGTTTGTGACTTATTTTTGTGTAAGGTCGGTCTCCCAGAATATCGTGTTGTTGGGGTGTTCTGAGAATCGGCTACCGGCCAACATTGACATCCACAGACTATTGTAACGCAGGTTCCGTGTCGCTATTTCTTACAGTGCGTCAGTAATACGTCAGTCAGCTTTATACATCAGCTGAAACATCAGCTGTATGTATGTTTCAGCTTTACGAAACTGCATCGAACACTATCAGCAAGCGATTGCATATCCACCCAATGCTAGCATACATATGTCTCCTAGCAGCTGTGTGTCTGGCTCTTTGACATTGCTAGCTTCCCCGTCCCCATTCTGAGCTCGAATTGGGTCACCGTTTCCTGACTGCGTGGGGGTATCAAAGTGCGATTGAAGTGGGACTGGCCGCCGGCTCCGTGTGATATCTGGGTGCTTATTAGCGCGCGGGTGCCGGCCATATTGGTCTGTGAGGTGTCCCGGCGTGTAATTGTCGTCAGTGGGACCGCACTGTGGGACGGGTCGCTGGTCAAGGCGGCGGAAATCGGCGGCACTGCGCAGCTCCGTACCGGGGGAAGGGGAATTTCCTGTATGTTTGATGCAGTCTTGCAATGCAATCCAGCCATCCAAGAAACTTTGCGCGAGACGTTTTCTTGGATGGTTTTCTTGGATAGCTTGATTTCATCGAGGGCTTCTGTTTTAAAGAAAATTTGTAAGCTTTGCTGCACTGTTAAGTAATTAGAACTGCCAGTATTTCAACTATTTCAGTACCTAACGTGTAGTTAATGTTACTGTATTTTATTTATGCATATTTCGGCCTTTTTTAAGCAGATAACGAGCGATATTAAGAAACATACAGGAAATAATATCTAGGACTCTACCGCGACGAAATATTTCTATCTCGAGTTTTCAAAGAATTTCATGCACTCGGCCAAGGCCTCGTGCATGAAATCCTTTGAAAACTCTCGATAGAAATATTTCGTTTTCGCGGTATCGTCCAAGAATGTATATTCAGTGCGAAGGGGGAGGGGGCGTTTGCGGTAGGGTTGCTTTCTACTTTATCAGCTGTTTAGCGTAACCGATGCATTATATTTGTGTGCATTGATTAGACGCATCGAACCGATTTATTAACGATAGTAAAATATAATTCCGTTCCCAAGAACAAAATGTTACATAAGTGGCGGGTGGTGTAAATGCATAAAGCATGGCATTAGGCAGCTCTGGCAAATGGACCCAGATACAACAATGTGAAAAGCGGACCATTATACCGGGTGGCCCAGAAAAAACGTTCCGAACTTTGGAGGCCTATATATCAAATTCGAGTATAAATAACGAGCTAAAATTTTCATCAAGTTTGCGTCATTTCCTTGCGCATTGGTATGCCAAATTATAACACTATACCATCATTTTCAAGCTGGCAATCTTGAGTTGAATTAAGCAAGACGTTTTTGCTTTTTTTGCCGATGTCAAACGATAGTGATGATTGGGTTAGACGTCCCATGTAATAAAAAAAAATAAAAAATAGAGCACGTGAATGAAACCAACACGTATGTTCTTATTTTAAATATTTTTGTCTCACTTATGTGCCAAATATTCAAATACTGAGCCAAGATGGTGCTCATGGATGCCATTCGTTTCAACACCAAATCATGTTTCGAGCAGGAGTGGCACGGTGCATGGATTACTGCTGATTACCCTCCTTTCAGTAGATCAAACAGGAAATCGACCGGATAAGGAAATCAAACTAAAGCAGACTGGTTCCTGTGCCAGAAGACCACAGAATAGCTTATGAAAAACATCATTGCTAGCAGATGACAAAAAAACTGGTTGAAAAGCTACCTTTTCCCAGGAATGTCAGCCAGGAAAGCATTTGAGCCACAAGATGGTTAGAAAACTGGAAACTTCTTCCGATGCCGCTGGCACAGAGCCATCGTGGTTGCCTGAGTGAATGTGTCATCCTGAGACCCGAACCATCAATGAGACTAGCTGCCAGTAGAAGTCATGGCTCTAGGCCGCGGTGCCGCGGGGTGAAAGTGACCCGTTCACTCACATTTTTTTTTTTTAGTAAACATCGGAGCAAAAAAGTAATTTTTACATGGCATGCTTGAAACACGAACCGTTTAAAAAGTAATTTACCGATCACCATGAAAATCACACCATTTACTGAAAATGTGTGACGCATTGACTATTCGAAGTTTCAATGTTGTATCTTTATCACTTTCTGAGAAATATTGATTTAAAGTTGGGAACGTTTTTTCTGGGCCACCCGGTATAAGGGGCTTTACCACCGCGCTACCAAGCCAAAAAGCATGCGGTATAATCCACAGCAGCCGAAGCACAATATGAACTGAAAGTCTAGGCGGCCTTGGCAACTATCCAGATAAAGATCGTATCCTACCCTGGTTTCTTCTGGTCTGGATTAGTGTCACGTGTTCAATTAATATGCTACTTGTTGCATCGTATTTTAGCTAATGTTTAAACTATGTGTCTTTATGCATGATGCTATATTGATTTCGATGTGTTTCAAGAAAGTCGTTTTAACATGCCTTGTGCGACACGATTAGCATTGTTCTACGAATTGCACCTACTTTCATATCCAACGAATAGTGTTTGTATATTTCAAACAACCTGCTGTTACTACTGTTCACATTAATGATCTTCTTCATTTTGACCCTCCCTGGCTGACCTCTGATGACCTCTGGTGACCCCTGCCTCCCCTTCGTCAGGTGTGGCACATCCACTCGTCAGAGCAGCTCTCTCGGCTGCTGGGTCACGTGGTGCGGATTTTCGGAGAGAGCCTGCCCTCTGCGCGCATCCAGGAGCGCTGGGCCAAGGTGGCCCTGCACGTGGCTCTCAGCTGCTCGTCCCGACACTACGCCAGCCGATCGCTGCAGGTACGAACGGACGGGACGGGACGGGACGGGACGGGACGGGACGAGACGAGACGAGACGAGACGAGACGAGACGGGACGAGACGGGACGAGACGAGACGAGACGAGACGAGACGGGACGGGACGAGACGAGACGAGACGAGACGAGACGAGACGAGACGAGACGAGACGAGACGAGACGAGACGAGACGAAACGAGACGAGACGAGACGGGACGAGACGGGACGGGACGGAACGGGACGGGACGGGACGGGACGGGACAGGATGGGACGGGACGGGACGGGACGGGACGGACGAACAAAAAAGCAGATGGATGGTTGAAACGGCGAAGAGGCAGACTAATGAGCAGATAATAGTTTGGAGAAGAGAAGGACGGTGGATGAGTGAACGAATCGACGAATGGACGGGTCTGGTGGCGTCCTTGACATCTGGCCGTTTTGATTGATCCAGTTAGACCGGTAATTCGGTGTTTTTCACACGACGTCCAACTTTCTGCTGATGTAAGCTGGCTCGCTAAACGGCGGCCAGCTTGGCGCTTTGAGCTTGTGTCCGAGGACCGATGGCGGTAGCATGGTGTTTTTACCCGTTGGATTGTGAAATATGGCGATGTTAAAACTTTAAAGTGTTTGTTCTCGTGCGCTTGGCAGGCTTCTCTATTCAAGCTTCAAGCGATTTTCTGAAACAATCTGTATTTGCAAATATTTTCAAGGTCGGAGGATGTGGCTAGTGTAGCTTGGATTTATTATTTGATCCGGACACATGTTTTCTATGCTTTGCAATCTTATGCATTCGCTGTCTCTTTTTCAAGCTTTTTGGCGTGCACGGCAATTTCCGCTGCCAGTAAAGGGGCGTGTACCCACCTAGCAACTCCTTCAGCAGCGATCTCGGGGTGGTTTTACCACCCCCAGCCCAGTCGTGATCCGCTCGGTAACAGCCATGCCCGCTCGAGGCGGCGTGAATCGAGGTCGTCCCTGTATGGTCGCTCGACGCGTCCACACTATCTTCCCCCGCAGGCGAGCCGGACTCGGTTTCAGGCGTGCCCGGCCGACTCCGTGTTTCTGCCCGAGCGGAGGCCTCGATCCGGTTGGGATTTGGGCTGTGGTGCGGTGTGAATCTGGGTGCTGACCGGAGGCTGTCCCGCTGTTACTGGGTACTGCTGTGTACCGGACTGGGTCGGCTGGGCTGGGGGAGTGTGTGTGTCGGGAGGGGGGGGGGGGGCACTGACGGCCGGCGCTGCAGCCCGTCGAGCCGGCCACTTCAGCCGGCGTTTGGTTAACGCCCCGGACGGCAGCGGCCGGCCTGATTGCCACTGTCAGTGCCAGAAGCGCACGTCCCGCCCCCCCCCCCCCCCGGGGGCGGCTGGGGGCTAGCAGCGCCACGTGGCAAAACACAGAGCACTGGAGAGACGCCGGCTCCGAGCTCTCCGGTGGGACTCTGTACGGAGCTGTCCAAATTCCGAGCGTTAGAGTGGATAGATATCCTGGACGGATCGCCGTCTGGCCGCCTGCTTAAATTGGGTGCGACTGGAGCATCGCTCAGTTTTTTTTTTTTTACATCTCTGTAAGGCCAACCATGGCTGGATCACCTTTCATATAAATACCGGGACCACATCGAAAGACGCAAGCAGTAACATAAGCATCATCCATTTATGTTCTCAAACTTACTGGAGACTAATGAACGATTTTAATTAGATCTTCATGATCTGTGTTCTGGGTAGCGATAGCTATGTCGCTCGGCCGCTTGTCATTTTCCCTTTCTTGCTCGAGGAACATGACGTCGCAATGTCTACGATTTGCTTTCACTTCCTTGGCTCGATTAGTTGCTTGCGTATGGTCAGTAAAAAGGAAAGCGTTCTCGGGTCAGATCAGCATGCCACATGAACCGTGAAACCGGTACCTACTTGATACTTACAGCATTGATATAACTAAATAAGACACTGTGGCAACAGGATATAACCAAATAGAAACATTTAAATGAAGCGAGTATGTGCATACTAGTTCAGCCAGAAATCGGGGTGAAAATTGTATTATTAATCGCGTGAAAGAGATGGCATTGATTCAATTGGTAGCCTGGCAGCTGGAAACCGATTCTCATTTCCGTTCCAAACTTTTCAAATGTGATTTTGTTATGGTTCAGTTAGTGATGGATCTATTCAGTGCTTCTGACGGCACTAAATTCGGATCAACCTTGAAGAACATTCTAAGCGGGCCTCTAGAGAACTAACTGCCGCCCACTTGGTTCTTGATTCTCAATGAAGCCCTGTGTCGCTCATTGCGAAGTGAGATATATTGAGGGTGTATGATGATCCCGAGTTTGAGGAAACGAGTATGGTTTCAGTTATACCGTTATGCTCCAAGTACGCGCAACTCGCGTTGTGCCAAGGAGCTTGGAGCGGTGGTTTCAGCAGAAGTTTTGTGAATTTCACCTTGAGTGGTAGCATTGTCTGACCAAAATATCCTCTGACGTAGATTCGAGAATTGGGGATATTCTGGTGTACCGCTGTGCGCTAAAAATGCTTCAAAAGTACCTGGGCTCAATTTGACGTAGATTCACTCGGTGCTTGATGTAAAGCTGCTTGTGATTATAGCATCTCAGCACTGTGCGCGCTGCCGATCCTATTATTGTAATTGGGCTGTTGCCGCCTTGTCTGTGCCGCTGTCGAGTGGGAGCGCTCGAAGCTCTGGTTGGAGTGCCCTCTGTGTCTCTGTCGCTGCTCGGTGCCGTGATTGCCTTCCGATGGAGACCTCCCGGCGCTGCCCTTTCCGAGAATAGTGTCCCGGACTGCACGGTGCCGACGTCACCGGAATGTTCGGACGGCGGTCCAGCAGTGATCGGAATGGCGTGTCGCCATTCTTCTGCCGGTAATGAGTCGTGGCGCGCCGGCCTGGGGCGCGGCGCGCCGTCGGCGCCTCAACTGTCGCGCTTTGAACGAGCGCGGCCCGTCTGAGGTAATAGGGTAGCCTCCGGGCAGGGAAGCAGATACTCAAGTAAATAATATGCGGTCATTAATTATTTTTGCGCTAAATATCATTGTAATTAACCTCAGAAATAAGTATTGCACCGTCGATGTGCGCCCGTCATAAGTTAGGGCGAGTCTGCTAGCGAGGATAATCCAAAGGCTTATGATGAAACTCGGAACGAAAAATCAACTGTGTTTATTTATTTATTTATTTATTTATTTATTTATTTATTTCAAAAGATCGCCGACGGGATAACCCATTGAGTGACAAAGTCAATATTTAAAACATTTATAAAAGAACACATTTACAAGACATAAAATGAGATGACAATGCATGAAATACATAAAAAAATAAAAAATAAAAATAAACAAAAATAAAAATAAAAACATGAACAAATTAAAAATAAACTAGCAATACATACAGCGCCAGTTCCTAAAGTGAGGCAGCGTATTGTTTCACCTTACTGCGAAATACGTAGCAGCTGTCATTGAACATATCTGCGTTGGGGACGCTTGCAAAGAAGCTGTTCATCTGCCTGGGCAGTCTCATGAACAGTCCATTCTTTACAGCGTTCACCCTTGCAAACGGGACATTCAATAATGTGCACATATGCTGTCTGGTTGTGCGGCAAGGCACACTCAGAGAAAAGGACTGCAGAAGTAGTGTGGACGATATTCTACCCCTGTACACATTCCGGATGAACATGATATCATGTTGTGATCTTCTCGCAGATACAGATGTCAGCTTGAAATGTTTAAGTAAGTCCACGTAAGACAAAGAGGGAGATTTGACGCGGCAGTGTGCGTTGAGCCACATCAAAAACTTGTGCTCGATCCGCATGACCCTATCTGTGTGCGCAGCAGCGGCTCCGTTCCAAATCACACTGCAGTACTCTAGGGTTGAGCGCACATACGCATAGTACGATGCGAGAGCCGACGGAACATTGAGACTTCCTCTCGGGTTAGCTCTCTATGACCTTATCAGGACGCCTAGAGCGCAATTCGCTTTGACGACGGTTTGATTGACGTGGGGCCCAAATGTCAATTTTCTGTCCAAAATGACGCCTAAATCTCGGATAACTTCAACATGTTCCAGGACCGAGTTTTGGATCGAGTAAGACGTAGACAATGGTTTCGTTTTGAGTGTCATACGAAATGATTTACATTTTGATGGGTTTAGTTGGAGTTTCCACGTCTTTGACCATTTTTGGAGCCTTTCAAGATCTTCCTGTAATGATTTGGAATCGCTTCGACAGGTGATTTTCCGATATAATTTGGCGTCGTCAGCATAGAGAAGCACCCGTGAAGACATCCCAATCGGCAAATCGTTGATAAACAGAGCAAAGCACAGCGCAGAGATCACGCCACCCTCCGGTGTTCCCGACGTAACCTGGCACCACTGCGAGCACCTGCCATTCACTACGACGCGTTGCTGCCTGTTTGTGAGGTATGACTGTAACCACTCCAGAGCTGGACCTGATACATGATAAGCCTTTTCCAACTTGTAAATTAAAAGAGAGTGGTCTACGCTCTGGAATGCAGCAGAGAAATCTGTATAAATGCAGTCTGTTTGGCAACACTCTTCGATTGATTCATATGCAGTGCTCAGCAGTGTAGCCAGGTTCGTCGCACATGATCTACCTGGAACAAATCCATGTTGCTCCGGTGTGATAGCGGGTTTCACGTGACGCAGCACAGTGATGCAAATGGGGTTCACGAGTGGCCATAAATACCCAAAAGTCAAGTTTACCAAATCGAGTTAATTGCGATATGGCCGAGTAGACAAATGTTTGGGGCATCTGAAATCACATGGTTTTCATGTTTTTGTCCAAACCGGCCTCGTGTATAATCGTCAGAAGTCGGGACATTTTCTAGGTCGTAAAATGACGGTCAGACGCTCGCAAGTTCAAACGCCGCTGGTTTGCGTTCATTTCGTACAAATTGAAAAATTATGCATGGGAATGATCCCCAAAGCCTTCTGCTTCTAATGCCGGGTCACAAAAAGCCGTATCTCATTCGCTTTGGCGGTAATCTGACTATTTATCTTCATGTTGCAATCGCAGTTTTTAACTAAGAAAAAAAAAATGCTTTCGTTTCACCTACAGCACCTAACACAGTGTGTGCCCGTTAGTCCACCGTACCATAGCCTTCCCTAATCATTTCTGAGTCGCATCGTGAAAGAATTAAGGTGCTAGCACAGGGCTGACCGGCGCTACAGAGGTTTTTGTCCGGGCGGTCGGGTGCCGCAGTGGGCGCGCAGTGGGCGGGTGGGTGCCGCCGCGCGGCGTCCGGGCGGCGCGGCGGCGTGGCCGCCCGGGCCGCCCGCTGCGCCGCGGCACCCGACCGTGCCGGACGAAAACTTCTGTAGCGCCGGTCAGCCCTGTGCTAGCGCCTTAATTCTTTCACGATGCGACTCAGAAATGATTAGGGAATGCTATGATATGGTGCACTAACGGGCACACACTGTGTGAAGTGCTGTAGATGAATTGAAAGCAAATATTTTTGGTAAAAAACTGCGGTTGCAACATGATTACAAATAGTTAGCTCACCGCCAAACCAAAATAGATACGGCTTTTTATGACGTAACATTAGAAGCAGCAGGTTTCGGGGATCATTTTCATGTATAATTTTTGCAGTTTGTATGACATGAACGCACGCTAGCGGCACTTGAATTTTAAGTACCTGACAGTCATTTTACGACATCGAAAATGTCTCGACTTCTGACAATCCTACACGAGGCCGGTTTTGACAAAAACATTAAAATCATACTTTTTCAGACACCCCAAACATTTGCCTGACTGACCATATTACGATTTATTCGATTAAGTGAACTTGAATTTTGGGTCTTTTTCGTATTTATGGCCACTCGTGAACCCCATTTGCATCACTGTGCGCAGTAAGCTAATATAAACTACTTTTTCTAAAACCTTCCCAAACAGCGGAGTCAGAGACACTGAACGGTAGTTAGCAGGGTCTTTCACACAACCTTTTTTGAATAACGGCACAACGTTGGCCCTTTTCCAAAGCGATGGAAATACGCCCTGGCTAAGCGACAGAGAACAGATCTTTGCTAGAGGAATAGACAGCGCATCACTACACTCACGTATAATGCGGGCGCTGATACCGTCTGGACCACACGCCTTGTTCACAGGAATCGATTCCAAAATAGTTTTTACGAGCTCTAAACTACATTCGAACTCGGTAAGCGGCGACAGATCGTAGGACGGACAATCGGGAATCACGGTTACATCGCTCCTGATGAACTTTGCGGCAAAGGCTTTGTTGAGAACGTTAGCTTTATCCATGTCGTCAGATATCTCTACGCCGTCCACCACTAACGCCGACAAACCCCGATTAGCGTGTCCTCCGATCAACTCCCCTCCCTGTTTGGCTGTGAAAGGCCGTCAACACCCGGGTTTATCTTCGCCTCCAGCTCTGTGCGAGCCACCGCTTCGTCAAACCCGGGTGGACGACGAGGGTCGTTTGGGAACAAAGGACAGGACGGTGATGATGGGGATGGTGGGTGGGCAAACACTCCGCGCACCCCTCGTGCACCGCGGCTCGGCTCACACTGCGCGTGTTATCGGCCGACCACGGCGGGCCGCCGCGGTTCTGTTTGTTCTTCTCCACCCTTCTCGTTATCGCCCCCCCCCCCTCCCCCTCCCCCTTCCCTGGACCCCACTGGCTCGGTGTCGCGTCGTGTCACCTCGGCCCGCTAATCACGATTCAACGTCCCGTTAATGCTTGATTAGCGTGTCCTCCGATCAACTCCCCTCCCTGTTTGGCTGTGAAAGGCCGGGCATGTACGGATCAGGTCACGCCCGTCGGCCGTGGCCATGACACGACGGGGACCACAGAGTGCCAAGTCCTCCTGTGCACACGGCATATACGGATCAGGTCACACCCGTCGGCCGTGGCCATGACACGACGGGGACCACAGTTGCCAGGTCATCCTGTTCACACGGCATGTACGGATCAGGTCACACCCGTCGGCCGTGGCCATGACACGACGGGGACCACAGAGTGCCAAGTCCTCCTGTGCACACGGCATATATGGATCAGGTCACACCCGTCGGCCGTGGCCATGACACGACGGGGACCACAGTTGCCAGGTCATCCTGTTCACACGGCATGTACGGATCAGGTCACACCCGTCGGCCGTGGCCATGACACGACGGGGACCACAGAGTGCCAGGTCATCCTGTTCACACGGCATGTACGGATCAGGTCACACCCGTCGGCCGTGGCCATGACACGACGGGGACCACAGTTGCCAGGTCATCCTGTTCACACGCCATGTACGGATCAGGTCACACCCGTCGGCCGTGGCCATGACACGACGGGGACCACAGTTGCCAGGTCCTCCTGTGCACACGGCATGTACGGATCAGGTCACGCCCGTCGGCCGTGGCCATGACACGACGGGGACCACAGAGTGCCAATTCCTCCTGTGCACACGGCATATATGGATCAGGTCACACCCGTCGGCCGTGGCCATGACACGACGGGGACCACAGTTGCCAGGTCCTCCTGTGCACAAGGCATATACGTATCACTGATCAGGTCACACCCGTCGGCCGTGGCCATGACACGACGGGGACCACAGTTGCCAGGTCCTCCTGTGCGCACGGCATATACGGATCAGGTCACACCCGTCGGCCGTGGCCATGGCACGACGGGGACCACAGATGCTGGCCTCTCTAGGCGCACGGTGTCGTGGTCAGCTAGATACCCGCCCCTTTCCGTCACGCCCACTTCTATAGCGCCCGTCGAACGGTCCCCCTCTATCCCGTCTCCTCGTGGCCGTTCTACCTAGATTCTTCCCCCCCCCCCCGCAGCCTATCGCTGCGCCCACCTGTCATCCTGCGTCCGTCTCCTGTCGCTCCGTTGATGTTGTCCTGTTATTCCGTACACCAAACCGAGCACTTATATCGCGTTCGTCGCGCGCGCCGCGCGAGAAACACTCCGCGCACCCCTCGTGCACCGCGGCTCGGCTCACACTGCGCGTGTTATCGGCCGACCACGGCGGGCCGCCGCGGTTCTGTTTGTTCTTCTCCACCCTTCTCGTTATCGCCCCCCCCCCTCCCCCTCCCCCTTCCCTGGACCCCACTGGCTCGGTGTCGCGTCGTGTCACCTCGGCCCGCTAATCACGATTCAACGTCCCGTTAATGCTTGATTCCCGCCCCTCGTGCTCTTCAAAAACGACCAGAACCGTTTCGGATCAGTTTTAAACTCGTCGGTGAGTCCTATCAAGTAGGCGCTATATTTTTGGTCAGCTGAGTTTCTAAAGTCTCTTCTCTTAGCACTGAATGCCTGTTCGGTTTCCTCACACCGGTTTCGTTTCATTCTTCTAAATGCCGTTTCCTTTTCTCGTAACATGTTGCGCAGATCACGATCGAACCAGGGAGGATAGTTTCTCCTGATATGTACAACAGGTATACAATCGCGGATAGCCGCGTTAACAAAATCGTAAAAGATATCCACTGCTGCATCGACATGCATGCCATCAAGAATGCTCCACGGGAGTGACCCTAGCGATACACGTAACCTCTGAAAGTCAGCCTGTTTATAGTTGAAGGCGGATCGCCTGGATGTAAGGGTCGCAACAGATTTCACATGTTTGACAATGCATTCTACTTGTTTGTGGTCAGAGTCGAAAATGCCATCTCGCACATCAACATCGGTAATGCACTGCCGGTTACACAATATCAGGTCGAGTGTGTTATCGTCCCGAGTCGGAAGACACACATACTGTTTTAGACCAGCCAGACAGCAGGCGTCGAGAAAGTTATTCGCACGTCTCGAACGCGCGGTGGTCGGTGTCGCCCAACCAGCCTCCGATCGACGCCAGCTTGATGTTGGAGCAAGAAATGCATCTGATTTTATTCGACGGGCCGTACTCAGGATATTCAAAGCATATTTAATCGGAAATGATTTGTTCCAAATGGCGACTGTCTCAACCGCTGACTGTGACAGCGTCGGACACAATCACTGACTTTCTGTATCGACTGTCTCAGCCATCATGTGTTTTGAATCGTGTCGGGTGTGATGCTCGCCTACCATGTTCCTCATTCCGCTGACCAGTGCGAATGTGAACATGTTACAACGGATGTTACTGTTTCCGCACATCGACTATTTAGGTATGCGCCTCATCATGTGTTCACGTACGTGTGTCAACAGATAAATATTATCGTGTGCGTGTGTCATGTGTCACATCTTTTACATGTGTCCCTCTTTTACGCGTGCTTACACATATTACGTTCTTTCGCGTGTCTATAGGTGTTCGGGGCGCTGCGTATGCTCATCACGGGAGGGGTACTCTCCTGTCGTGTTACTACTGTATGTTACCTTGTGTCGTGTGTCCGCAGGTGTTCCGGGCGCTGCGTATGCCCGTCACGGGAGGGATGCTCTCCTGTCGTGTTACTATGTTACATTGTGTCGTGTGTCCGCAGGTGTTCCGGGCGCTGCGTATGCCCGTCACGGGAGGGATGCTCTCCTGTCGTGTTACTGTGTCACCTTGTGTCGTGTGTCCACAGGTGTTCCGGGCGCTGCGTGTGCCCGTCACGGGAGGGATGCTCTCGGAGATCCTGTCCCGGCTTGTGGAGACCGTGGCCGAACAGGGGGAGGACATGCAGGTGGGTAACGTTCACAGTCGTCAGTTATACACGTCTTCAATCCGCATTGCATTATAGATTCTCAGTCCACATTGCTCAACTCATCGTGCTTACTCTTCAGCGCAATCCTCAGTACACTGACCGTTTTAGGTGTCACTTTTCCTTTGGTCTGGCGTGTCTTGCCTGCGTTTTCCTCCCTAGTCCTTCCCCCAGAATGAGTCCACTGTGTCTTGGAATTACTTCCGTTCAGGCTGCATTAATTTCCTAGATGAGTTACTCAGTTTTATCACGTACTCTCCATCACGATTATATATTCCTCCACTTGGAATGCATAGTCTCTCGGTAACTTTGTCGCGTCAGCTGAATCAAAATTAGGGCTGTATTTCCTCTCCGGGTGTTTTGTAGCCGTGACTTTTATTGCTGTTTGATGTGTCCGTTTCTGAACTATTAAAACCATCCCATTGACATCTAAAACTCACTGCAGAAAGCCGTCAACAGTAGTGCTGTCAATAAAGTCGGGTCAGTTTACCCGACTCTATTACCGTGAAGCTGGGGAGATCGCTCTTTCTGAAGTACGAAGAGATTAGCAGTCCAGATTGAAAGCCTTTTCATCTAGGACGTCCTTATACCTCCTAACAATAGCTATTTACGTACCTCCTGTCCTACCTGAAACCCGACGCCCTTCCTCGGAGCTGTGCCTCAATCTACCTGAAACCCGACGCCCTTCCTCGGAGCTGTGCCTCAATCTTTGTGTCGAGTTATTTTATAAAGCCCTCGTCTCATGACTCGGCGACTCGGGTGACGCCGCGGCGATGACTCCCGCTCCGCCACCGTCAGGGCTACGTCACCGAGATGATGTTGACTCTCGAGTCGGCCGTCGACTGCATCGACTCCGACTTCCGTCCGATCGACTTCGTCAAGGACCTGTTCAAGTCGACGCCGAACCTCATCAACAAGGAGCCGCGCCGTCCGCACATGACGGGCTCGGTGGGGCCGGCGTGTGGTACCCAGCTGGCCGGCCACCTGAGGTCCACCAGCTGCTCCACGGGGCAGCAGCCGGGCGGACCGCGCAAACAGCCCACCAGCCCCGGCAGCGACAGAGGTACGCACGACCACAGGGGAGGTAGGGAGGGAGGGAGGGAGAGGGAGAGAGAGAGAGAGAGAGAGAGAGAGAGAGAGAGAGAGAGAGAGAGAGAGAGAGAGAGAGAGAGAGAGAGAGAGAGAAAGAGAAAGAGAGAAAGAGGTCTGAGGGGAGGGAGGGGCTGGGGAGGTGGGTGAGATGGGTTATCGGTAAACTTTTGAGTGGCTGTGATCAATATCGGACCCTGATATTTCAATAACGTGCTGAGATTTCAGTTGAATGAGTCGGCAGGAATATGATTGAGAATGATGGGTCTCGGTGTTTTATTTTCGTCATGGAGAAGTCCTTGGTATTATGGGGTTGAACGTAACTCAAGTCTAAAAATATCACAACGGTAAGAATGATCGGCTTCTTCCGAGCAATCATCTTGAGTTCATATTGCGATAGCATTCCTTTTGAGGTCTACATTCCGGCGCTCGCCCCCACGTGTTGACCTTCACATAATTGAGCGTCAGAAAGCGATTTTGGCTACGTAGTGACGTCATCCCGATCCTTTTGCGTGTATCCCTCTGCTACTCCATATGCGGATCAGCCGCCGGCTGGTCGCTGTCTTTAGCCCTATTTCTCCGGCCCTCGGTTGTGCCGTTTTCACAACACGCTAAGCTGCGCCCACGGCCCAGCTATCATTTCTCGGACGGGTCTGCGAAATTGTTCTCTCTCAACAGCGAATGTTTTCCTCCTCTGGCGCTTCAACAACACACCGCTGTTTGCTTCGGTCAGCTTCATATCGATTTACTGATGCTTCTGCAGTGGTAAAACGTAAAATATCAGACAGCTAATGGTCTCTTTGTGGACAATAACGTGAGTTAACGACGGTCTAATAAAGCGTAACTGTGGTAAAAGGTGATCCTTAATTGCACAGCTGATGAATTATTGTTTCAGTGTCTTGTTTCAAGAACTGGTTCCTGGTACATTAGAAGTGGATGCACAAAAAATATCGTTCGTTTTACCTAGCGCAGCTTCGGAAAAGGAACGCTCTGCATTGTCACCGTCTAGTGGCTACATTAGCTGCAGACCCAGGCTCTTGTCCATTACATTCGAAGGCACACTACCTGGTGACTGCCCGTGTATTTTCGTATGTCGATATTAGCCTCGAGTACCAATCAGTGTGTAATTATGTGTCCATTGTGCGGCACACTCGCCATGAGCCGCGCCCCGGCGCTGGAGCGGCCCTCTCGCTCGGTCGGGCGGCGCCGGGCGACGCGCCTGGAGACGCGGCACTGTCTCGTATCGGCGCACAGGGCCGTGATGACGAGGCGCTCGGGCAGACTGCAGTGCCGGCTGTACCGGCCGAGGGAACACCGTGTCGCTGCGGAACCTTCCCGGATACGCCGAGAACATGGCGCGCTTTGGGCGCCTGTCCACTCGTCGGCGATGCGTTCTCTTGTAAAGATATTGGAGGGACTTTGGTGGAGGGAGTCCCGCTGTGTTCGTCTTTATTTCCTTTCGCAGTGCTCACTGCCTGTCTTTTATGAAGCCGAACTGATTATATATCTGCCATAATCCCATTGGATTATTTTCCAATCCTATATGATCCAGACTTTAGTTCAGACCTCACCATAATTTCATTATGTCCATTGATGTGAACTGATGTAACCTCGATACAATGCACTCAAACCTTCTCTAAGCCCGCTCCTTCCCGCCCTAAACCCGCTCTAACCCGCTCTGTGCCTCTCCACAGAGGGCCGTCCGGGCCGGGTGGCGGACGGCGGCAGCGGCCGCTCGCCCACGGGCGCCGCCGGCGCGCTGAGTCGCTCCCGGTCGGCCAACAGCCTGAAGCAGATGTCTTCCGACCCGGACACGGAGGAGAACAAGCTGACGGTGCTGTCGCAGCTCTTCTGGCTGTCCGTGTGTCTGCTCGAGTCCGACTACGAGTATGAGTACCTGCTGGCCATGCGGCTGCTCGAGAAGGTGGGTGACTGCCATATGGCGGCCGGTGAGGACTGGTGTGCATCGTTGTGAACTGGTGTGCACCGAAGGGAAAGTGCAGCTACCGAAATGGGATCCTCTGTCAGTTGTGTATGGTCAGCGTTTTGCTAGATTCGCACATTTGCTACCAGACATCAACTGAATCCGTAACCAATGGCTCATTGAAACTTTGGAACACAGGAATCTTCGTCAAACCCCGTCATAAGCCCGAATTAAGACACCTCAGCTCTGGCAACGCCATCATTACTGTCAAGGCGGAACCTAGCGGAACGGCTGGTCAGCGAGCCTGAACTTAAGTCTGGCCGATCCTTTCTCTATAATGTGAGCGGCTGAGCTCTGCTTCCGGCGAAACAGTCAGTTAATGGAGGTGTTAAGCCTTCTGCGTACACCGGCGGAGAAACTCTGCTGACATACGCCAGCCAACTAATCCACGGAGCGCGGATATCGTAATGGAAATTTGTTAAGCGCAGTCTTATGGATATTATGGAAGAAACTTACGCAATTCATGTCACTTTTCTAGCGGGTATTATGGTTAATCACTGAGGTTAGAAAAAAATATGCGCCATCTTTAGAAATTAAACATTCGTTTGCAAACTGGCGGATCCAGGGGGGGGCATTTAGGGCCATGCCCCCCCCCCCAAAGGCCTAAAGTGGCCTGTTTGGCCCCCCCCCAAAACGTCAGAAAAATTGCTAAGAAAATATACCTTGATGGCGGTTTTTAGCCACTTGGTGAAGTACAGCTTTCCACAGCATAATATGGAAGCAATATGGTAGCAGTGAGGGGTCAGAAGCTGCGCGAGCGGAGTCGACCTTCAAAAAAGACTGTTGTTGGCACGTGTTTATGGCGCGGCAGCTGGCAGTTGGCGGTGTTTCGCGTGGTGTGGCATCACTGGCGGATCCAGGGGGGGGGGGGGGCACGGGAGCCTGAGGTGCCGCTGACAGGCCCGTGGTGCCCTTGCTAGGCCTGTGGTGCCCCTGGACCCTGGCAGGCCTGTGGTGCCTCTGGCGGGCCTAGGGTGCCCCTGCTAGGCTGCTGATGCCCCTGGGACCTGACAGGATTGTGGTGCCCCTGACAAGCCTAAAGTGCCCGTGATGCCCCCGACAGGCCCAAGGTGCCCCTGCGTGATGCCGTGATGCCTGCGAGGCCGGTGGTGCCCCTGCGAGGCCGGTGGGGCCCCTGACAGGCCCATGGTGCCCCTGCGAGACCGGTGGTGCCCCTGCTAGACCGGTGGTGCCCCTGGCAGGCCTGTGGTGCCCCTGCTAGGCCGCTGGTGCCCCTGGGCCCTGACAGGACTGTGGTGCCCCTGACAGGCCCAAGGTGCCCCTGCAAGGCCGGTGGTGCCCCTGTAAGGCCTGTGGTACCCCTGCTAGGCCTCTGGTGCCCCTGACAGGTTCATGGTGCCCCTGCGAGGCCGGTGGTGCCCCTGGCAGGTCTCTGGTGTCCCTGACAGACCTGGGGTGCCTCTGACAAGCCTGTGGGGCCCCTCACAGGCCCGTGGTGCCCTTGCTAGGCCTGTAGTGCCCCTGGCGAGCTGGTGGTGCCCCTGCTAGGCCGGTGGTGCCCCTGACAGGTCTGTGGTGCCCCCGGGCACTAAGGGGGGTCATGACCCATGTGGCCCCCCTTGGATCTGCCACTGATACATAATATATTGATTTGTAAAGGCGTTATGGCTTATGCAATATGCAATTGCAGGCACTTGGTATCCCTCACTTATCCCTCATTGGGGGCTCTGGCGGGCTCTTGAGGGCCCATGTCTATCTCCGGGAGCCCTAGACGGGCTCCTTTTGGTCCTTTCAGTCCACTATAGCATAAGAGGTCTCCACGCGAGTCCTATACATCTGAGGGCGTACCCTGACGTCTGAGGTACCCAACTGCAGCTCCAATGGTCTCTTACACTGGCGGATCCAGGGAGGGGGCATTTAGGGCCATGCCCCCCTTCCCAGAGGCCTAAAGTGGCCCATTTGCCCCCTCCCCCAAACGATAATGAAACATAGTTCAATCAGTGCGTGGCCCAGGAGCCGAGTTAGACAGGGGGTGTTTTACCACCTCCCGGCCCGCAAAGGGACCCAAGCACTGACTCGAAGCGGGTTAACTGGTCGACAAAAGCATTGGTAAGTGTTTACAAAGTAATATAAAGGCATGGGTCGGGTGGGCTACCATTTATATATTTTTTTCTTTCTTTTTAGTTAAAAAAAATATTCATAGTGTCAGGCTGTGACGACGAAAAATAAGTGGCCTAAATCCGATGAGAAAACAGGATTTGGGGGTACCCTAGGTTTGGCTCCTGCATCAGTTGCCCCCCCCCCCAAAACGCAAGCCTGGATCCGCCAGTGCGTTTGCAAATTATACCGTCCGTTTAGAAAACTTTTACAAGCCACTGAAGGCGTGTGTAAAGGAAATCTGTTCATCTTGTGTAAATTTAGAAAGCATATCATTCTGCACACCGTAATAAGACATTTCAAAACAGCTAATGAATTTTTAGGCATTGTACCGTTAAAGTGCGGTTACAATTATATCTTTATCAACCGACATTGCTGATTGTCTGTGTCTGGCCTCATAATGTTTTCTTATCAACTCCATATTGCTGGAAGCTTATGCGTGGGAACGTGCTGTTGAAAATATCAATACTGTCTCCGCTCTATATCCCGTGCACTGGTCAGTTTTTGTGGCACAGACGCCTCTGGCCGGGCCGCTGTCTGGGACATATGATCACCGGAGACGGTCGGTCAGTGGTGTCAGGTGTCATCGATCGCGAGCAGTGTCATGTGTGATCTGATCGGGCAATGTGACACCATGCCGCCTTCGTTGCCATCCGGCCGGCCGGTGCGAACTCACTGCCAGAGAATGTGTTAAAAAATTATCAGCTGGCGGTGATTTCTGGGTGTCTGTGGATTCTCGCGGATAAGTGATGACTGATTCTACAAGGAAAGCAATGTTGAAAACAAATAAATGGCATCACCTTAGACTTTAGATGGTGTGATAACAGATCAGGGAGACACTTTCGGGAAAGGTGTTGTTTTGCTTCTATTCCGGTAAAATACGTATTTGTGTTTTACCGTTTGGGGGCAGGCGATTGGCGTGCAGCTGCTTCGGCGGCTCTACCGCTGCGTCTGATCTCCATGGTAATTCCCGTCCACCCACCGAGCCGGCCATGGCGCCGCGCCGTGAACAGTCCGACCGGAGCGGCCGGCGGCGGGGTGGTCTGGGCCGCCCCCGACGACCCGCCATCGGGTGCCCCTTGACCCCAGCGCCCCCGGCTCGTGCGGCCGCCGCCGCCGCCGGATTCAGCACGTTTGGATGGAACGATGGCCCAGATCAAAATAGATTGTACATACGGTGTGAGAAAACGCCGGCAGAAAACTGCGGCCCAGTTTATTGGCTGGAAGTCTGAGATGGGCTGAGTTTTATTTGGAGAGACGGAATGAAAAACGGGAGGAGAGAGAGAGAGAGAGAGAGAGAGAGAGAGAGAGAGAGAGAGAGAGAGAGAGAGAGAGAGAGAGAGAGAGAGAGAGAGAGAGAGAGAGGGAGAGGGCGGGGGGGTGGAGACGGAGAGAGAACGCGCAAAAGAGCTCACCAGAGGTGTGCACCTTTTGCTACGTTTGTACGGTACCTACACGAGTGGAATGTGATTTGTATTGCATATGTCTCATAAACGAAATAAAGGTGAAAAGAACGCTCAAAAGACGAAAGGGAAGATCAAGACGTTGATGCCATTGGCACTGACAACATTGCTATTTACCGTGACCGTCATGCAATTTTGCACTCGGTCTGCCGCACATTGCCAGTGCCGAACCGCTGAGTTTAGGTCCGTGTGTTAAGTGCTAATGTGAAATGCCTTAGCCACTGCCGTGTATTGATTCATGTAATTTTTTAGGTGATGCCATTCACATTTTTTAGGAAAATGTTATCAACAAATTTTATCAACAAATTTAGGCTACGATTTTCAGCCTGAGTCGACTGGGATGCAACCTGCCCTTTGACTGATATTGGCCTCGAACGTACCCCAAGGCTATAGTTAGGGTCAAAGTGGCTGTTTGGCCCAACACACGTAATGTGACGTCATCTTACTTTTATACGTCGGAAGCTGTAATATCGCCGACTGGCCGGAGCCTTTTTGCCTTTTTGTGTGGCTGACGTCCTTAGTTCAGACTGAGTGGAATTGACGCTTATAGACACGGCGAATCGACCCGTACGCAACTCGGCGAACAGCCAACTGCCTAACAAGCGAAGTTATAGGCAACGGACGGGTCAAATTGAGCGTGCTGCAATTTCCAGTTTTCAAGAAGTTACAATTGTACAAGGAAGAGGCACTGGAATAATAACGACGATCCGATGAATCGCTGAGTGCTCTAGAGAAGTAAACAAAAAATGCAGCACCTATTGCAAATCTGTCTACTTTTCTCTAACAAAAAAGTTCGAAACAATGTGAATTAAACCTTTAATTACTTTGAACAAGTGGCCTGATCATTTATTCCTAATTATGCCTGAAATTATAAAAATGCCAGGAGTTTTTATCCACGCCTGCGGAGTCGATGGACTTTCGGCGACTCCAACCCCGTTGTCCTAAACTGACTCTGACTCCGGTCAGTTGTCCGACCGAGTCCGACTCCGACTCGGCAGTCCTGGTTTTATTATTTGGCTTGCAGCGCGTTTTGCCCGACTCCAAAGTCTAACGGGTTCTTCCCTGCTGCTTGTTTCTTACGAACATCTGATTCTGGACAAATGTGCGTGTGGCGCAATTTCGGCTTATAACTGACATAGAATATCTCAGTACGCTTCGTACGGTACAATATGGTACCCTTTGGTGAAGAACACATGTTGTTTCCAGTATGAATCAAATGATGATATTGGGACTATCATATGTGAGCCTATATCTGCAGCTTTCCAGCACCGGAGCATGCATTAAATCAGTGCTTTCTTACCATCTCTAGATAGGCAATAAAATAGGCACCCCTGAACTCCTGCTTGTTATCTGTGCATTGATACAATTGTGTTTCGTCAGCAACACATGTATAAGGTACACAGCTGCAGCATAGAGCCCGCGGCTACCAGCTCAGTCCTCAGTTTTATCTCGGCCGTTACTTAAAGTGGTTGCAGGCTCTGGTTGCAGGCTCAATTTGTTACACACTCAAGTAAACACAAAAATGAATGTGTTTACAGCCGTGTGGGCTGAATTCATCTGTTTGCTGCTTCACGACTTGGCTGTCAACACCAAGTGGGCGCATCGCTAGGCCAAGCATCTGGAGTCCAATCCGTTTTTAGCAACGAGAATATCTCTTCGACACAAATTGTTATTCCTCCTGGTACTTTTTGACATTTTCAAGCGTAGTTATGTTGGCCCTTGCTATTCAAGCTATTCAAATGTAGTGAAAAGGGCATCTTGTTGCGCTCATGTGTATTGCGTAGTAAGGTGCCACTGCCAGACGCCAGTACCTCCCCCTGTGTTCTCAGGCGCTGATTAGTTCAGGTGTCCCTCCCCACCTTCCCCGGTGCTGAGTTATGTCACTTTCTGTCTGTTTTCAGGTGCTGAATAACTTCCGCCTCCCCACTGGCGGTCCCCAGGTGCTGAGTAAGCTCTCTATCGGCAGGTGCTGAGTAAGCTGTCGCTGGACCGTCCCGACTGCCGGGACCGCGTGGAGCGACTGCAGCTGCAGCTGCGCTGGTCCACCTTCCCCGGCGTCCACTCGCTGCTGCTCAAGGGCTGCACCAACCCGGCCACCTACGAGCCGGCGCTCACCCTTCTGACCAGCTTCACAAAGCTGCTCGACTCGTCCGTGGTCGACCCGTCACAGAGCTCGGCTTTCCCGCTCAACGTCATCGCCCTGCTGCCCTACATGGTGTACCACTACGAGGACGCCAACCCGCTCTGCATTCAGGCGGCCGAGAACATCGCGCAGGTATGGACAGAGGAGGGGAGTGGGGAGAGGGACAGAGGAGCTGGTGGAGGGCGACAGTAGGCTGACCGGGTGGAGGGACTGTAAGACGGCTGGGTGGACGATCGCACTTCTGAGGGACGAGATATTACTGGAAGTTGAGTACGAGATGATGATAGAGACCTTGAGATGTTCCCCAAGTTTAGTTACAGCAAATTAAAAGCGGTAAAGAAGACGAGAGGCGATCATTTGATAGTAAAGGAGCTAAATAGTTAACTCAAGTGTTGAAGATGTGACGCCATAGATGAGTTTGTACCGCGCACTGAAGCGGTAATAGCGGTAATTAGCGTCACAATTGGCGACACGCAACACGCGGACACTGAGTCACATGTCCCGCGAGTTGCTGGGGGGGGGGGGCGTTAAACGCCCCCACTTTTTTCGCCGGGCCATAGCATAAAAACGGCGCGCCGCAGGCGCGCCAAATTTTGGGTACCTGTAGGGAATTGATTGAAGTTTAATGTGACAAAGTTTCAAAAAAATCGGTCCGAAAATTTTTGAGATATCGAGGTTTTAGTGACGTCATGATTTCTGAGTTTTCGACCAAAAACGGCATATGTTCAAAAAATCATATAAAATCACAGAATAGCCATACAGACATGCCGTAAACGCCATTAGACTGCCAATACCATGGTCAATCAAATGGCTATCTTCGATTATTGATTATCATTCCGCATTTTCCATAATCTTGAACTGAATCTTGGCAATTTTTCGTGACTACTTCACGACCATGACACATGAATTTCTTAAATTGAACTTTTTGAGCCAAACACGTACACATATGATAAAATGAATGTCACCATCGTGTTCTACGCCCCAAATTACCTATAAAACATGTGTCACAGGCTGCGAATATCAGTTTTGATTTTCGGGGATATGTGCCTACCCGGTTGACCTGACCTTGACCCTGACCTATGCTTGACTGACCCCTACATGGAGCTGACACTCTTGTAGGCCTTATAAGATGGATTGTGCACCGTTTTGACAGAGTTTATGGCGAGAGGCGCCCATTGCGAAGTCCTCTGAAGTCCATGCTACTGAAAGCCCGATTTCAGGTGTTTGACCTGACCTTGACCCGACCTGTGACCTCAAAATTCAACTTTAAAGTACTCATCTGAAGCGTCTCGTCGCGTTCTTTCGTTTGCCGCCTCGTGCGTTTCGCTGCGCCTATTGGTTCTCGAGTTATCGGCTGGGGGCGTTTAACGCCCCCCCCCCCCAGCAAACGGTGGGTGGCGAAATACCCCAGCAACTGCCGGGTTAAGTCGATAGGTCATGTGACGCCTTACATCATA